AGCTGATCAGCTGTTTGTCGGCTCAGCGCGGCAGCCATGTAAATTTAAATGAAGCGGCGATTATTTAAATCACCGCATCATTTTACTGTGTCGGGTAGCCTAATCTACATGCCTCTGGCGACAGAGGAATGTAGTCTAGACGTACACTTGCTCAAGGTTTGTGAAGGACTTGGTTTATCAGACTACTCATGCATTCACTCTCTACACAGAGAAGTAACACCCTGCTGCAATTAAGTCCACAGTTGTCTCTGTAAAGTCTATGAGCGATGTGGGAGTAGGGACAGACTTTTCCATGTTCACACAGATTTCCAGGGATCTCAGGAACAGAAAAAGGACAAGGTTTCCAAATAAACTTCCAGATGAGATCTATTAGGAGCCAGTTGGCCAAATACCTGGAAGTAGAATCTCATCTATGTTGCCAGAGTGAACTGAAGTACTTCAGCTCATCTCAACTAGCTTCTAATCTTTTACTCAAAATAATTATTACTACCTTTAATACTATCTAAGGCTATGTCTACACAACAAAGTTATTTTGGAATAATGGCATTATTCCAAAATAATTATATGAGCATCTACACAGCCATGCTGTTATTTAAAAAAAATTGAAATAACGGACGGCTTATTCTGAAATCTGTAAACCTCATTCTATGAAGAATAACACCTCTTCCAAAATAGCTAATTTAAAATAAGGAATGTGTAGACACCCCACTGATGCTATTTTGAAATAACCCCTTACCAGGGCCATTCTATGTTATTCCTCCCCAGTGCCTCCCTGTGCCTAAATCAAGATAGCACATCTACATTAGGGAAACCTGCCTCAGACTAATTTTGAGGCCTCCCTGTAGTGTAACTATTACCAGAATAGTTATTCTGGAATAGCTTATTTTGAAATTAATGTGCAGTGTAGATGTAGCTTAAGAGAATCGCAAACAAGGGGCTCCCCCACCTCTAAAACTTTCTCCAGCTAGAAGGAAAGGGAACCAAAAAAGGCTGTTAAAATGAAAGCCTTACTTAATACTGTACATTTCAAACATTGTAATGGTTTTTCCTTTTTTTCTTTATCTTTAATAAAAGTGTGACATATGGCCTCAAAGGGCTACACAACTAGCAGGCTAATTGGCTTAGACTGAATATTTAGAGACAATAGAAATTATGTTTGTATTTTGAGTGTTTACATTGGTACAGGTCGATAATGCAACCAAACAGGTCCCATCTATCGCTGTATTCTATTAATTCAGAGATCAAAAAGATATGATATTTAAGTGAACTTAGGAAAGCTCATGATACTATATATCTGTTAGTCTCTAAGGTGCCACAGGACTATTAATTGTTTTTAAAGTTGCAGACTAACATAGCTACTCCTCAGAGACTTATAAATGTAATGATATCACTGTCTTAATTTCTCTTAGAAGTGCATGTAGCTAATACCTGCAAAAGGCAGGAGACAGGCAACTGCCTTATGTTACTGGTGATTAGGAAATAGGTTACTTGAAAGACACTATTCTTTATCCAAGGAACACCAGTAGACAATAGCTTGTCACGGGTCTATAAAAACTCTTGAGCCAGAAGACTGATAGCTCCATTTCCATTCTGGACTACGCTTATATTGGACATTTGATTGCAAACGATAGAATAATTCTATGAGGATTCTTTACAACCCCTAAAGCTCATCATTTATACTATGAAACTGACCTAGGAATGCTATTCATACCTGTATGTATAATGATCTTTTAACCAACGTTTTCTCTCTTCAATATATCTTAGTTTAGTTAATAAAAATTAACTGTAAGAGTACATTTGGACAAGATCTGGCATATAAATTAACCTGGGGTGCAATGTGTCCAGTCCTTTGGGACTGATAGAACTTTTTAAATGATGAATAATATTTTCATTAATCCTCCTCATATTTGACTTGGCTGTCTTGATGGAAGCCCAAGGCTGGGTTGCTTTAAGGAACTGTATTTCTGGATCCATTGTCATCACAGACTTACAGCATGGTGGGTCCTTATGGTGCCAGGTGGGTACTATCAGAGAGACCGAGAGAGAGTGAGTCCTACCGGAAGCTTACTAGGGGTCACAGTAGCTCCAACACCATCTAAGTTTTGCTCCTGCATGTTTTCCCTTTGTGATCAGGGCACTTAGGCAGACCTGACTTCTTAGAGTCTTTGTGTAAAGACTCAAACAATTTGGAAGGAGCCAGGCAGGGGGTTCCTTCTGGAAGCAGTTTAGAGAAGAAATGTGTTTTTATGTCTGTGAGGGTGCCCCTTACCTCTTATGAGAAGTCTAAGACAACAGGTCTTTAGATTTATCTGATTTGGCATCGACACCTGAGCTCATGCTCAATGGCATGGAGCTTGATTACTGCAGCTGATGAACAAGTGGGGTCTTCCTGTCGTGGATCTGTTTGGGTTCTCATGGGTTCTCCTTGTGCTGTTTCCTCAGTCAGAGCTCTCGTGTCTCTTGGGTTTGGAGTTGGAAGAAGTAACAGATACTGCATTTGGAAGAGATTTGAGCCTCAGAAGGCAGGCTGATGGTCACCAGTGACTGAGAAGAAGCAAGGACAAGAGACACAGTTCTTGAATCCTGGAATTTTGAGCAAATTCCTAATCTAGAAAAGAAGTGGACAGAGAAGTCCGCAGGGTAGGGAAAAACTGAACTACATAAAATATTGTAAAACACTAATACTATGAACAATTATATTTACAGAGATGAAGACAATGAGAGGATAATTCCAGAGAAAGAGGAGCCCAAATGAGATCATGTAAAAGTAGGAAGAAAGAGGCAGTTGGTGTGGACTGAGCATTGAGCATGAGGAGATTTGCGGTGTAGGTGTAGACTAACAGATACTCCTTGACAGATTTTCCAGCATCAAAAGCCTAGTGTACTCATGTATACAGTGCAGGCAGGGCTGGCAGTAGACTTTTCTGGGCTGTGAGCAAGCTGGGGGAGGGCTCGACTCTGGGCCCCCCAGAAAGGGGCGGGATCTTGAGTAGAAGTGGTAGGGCTGGGAGGTTAGCCACCCCAACCCAGCCCTCAACACTGCCCAGATTGTCTCATGCAGAGCTCTTAAAGGGCCCAGGGCTCCATCTGCTACTGGAATAGAGGTGGTGACAGTTGGAACTTCAGGGCCTTTTAAATTGCTGGGCCCTGTGGCAGCTGCCTCCTTTGCCCCTCTGCTTCCTCTGTTAGTAGTCCTGAATGCAGGTAAAGGTCAGTCCTCAAATTTTGTCAACTGGTATTGACCAATCATTTCTGAAACAACTCCTGTTCTAGTCTTGCACTCTCAGACATGGTCTCTACTAAATTATGCCTCCTATTCACAGGAACATCACTAGAAACAAATATAGAAGTTTTTCTATTAGTCACATTACCGGGTATAAACAGACATCAGTTTACATTATTTCAAAACCCCTTAACATTAAGTGCTTATGCCCCTTTTAGTCAAATAAAGATGAAGCATTCTTCTTTACCAGCAAGAATTTTTTAATGAAAAATGAAACAATGGAAATACTTTCAAATGAGCTTTGTAACTGTTTGCACTTAGGAAAAAGTTACATTATATTTGCTCTTAATCTTTTCATAGGATAAAGAACTGAAAACTCTTACCATTTGCCTTGTTGATTTATAAACTGTTGAACTACATATCCAAACTGCTCACTTGAAGGACCAGAAAACAATTTTGATCCTGGGAGCCCAACGTTGTATGCTTCACAGCAATTATAAAGAATGCCTGTTAAGAGGGAGATCAATATTACTGAAAATAGCAATTAAAGAAAGAATTTTTATTCCACTGAAACAGTCCATTGTCTATGACAATTCCCCTTGATAATAGTAGTTTCAATTGTGGCCTTTGACCCTCCCAGTAAAAATCAGTGTTTCTCCCACTCCCACATACCAGTAGCCATTTATGATTATATGAATGCTTGTCAGTGAACTATATGAGCAGGACAGTGGAGTAGGCAAAGTTAATTACAATGATTAATAAATCTTGCAGTGCTACCAATGTGTGTGAATCCAAGAGACACAATGAATGTGTTTTTATATATTTTACAGATGTCTTTAATACTCCATTGCCTTGGAACATATAGTAGCCTTCTCATACAGAATTTCCTAAAGACCTTTTTATGTACAATATAATGAAGAACGACTGATGAAAATAGGTACTTTAGTACTGTCTGCATTCTAGTGCTACATTTCAAATAGTACACAATCAAACCTACCTACTCCTTTATCACAGAAGGTCTACAGTTTCAGGCCATTGTATTTTCATGCAGTAAGTGTTTGTTTTTTGAACAAAACACTGAGAAGCTTAGAAATGGAAGCCTGGGAAATATAGGCCTAATTTAATACATAGTGATACTTAGCAGTTAAACAGCACTTTGCATCTTGAAAATACTGACTAATTAAACCTCACAACAGTATTGAGAAATTGGTAGAAAAAATATATTACCTCAGCCACTTGTCTCTCTAAAACTCTTGTGAGGCAGGTAAGTACTTTTTTTTTTTTTTTTTTGCACTCACACATTAGGGATGTTAAATTCTGATTAATTAACTAATCAAATAGTCAATGGGATTTCCATCGACTATTCGATTAGTTGATAAGAATTTCAGCGTTCTGTCTTTGAAATAAACAAGAGCCCCAAAGGGGACTCTTGTGCATTTCAAAGTTGGAATGTGGGATGGAGCCCAGGGACTCTTGTACATTTCAAAGCTGGCACACCGCGTGGAGTCCAGAGCCAGCGTGGAGTTCCCTGTTGATCCCAGGCTCCATGTGGTACTTCCGCTTTGAAATGTGCAAGAGCTTCCACTGGGCTCAGGACTCCCCACTGGCCTGGGGCTCCACCCAACTTTGAAATGTACAAGAGCCCCTGAGGGGACTCTTGTATATTTCAAAGTTGGCTGCCCCTGTACCCCTATTCCCTCCCACAGAGCTGGAGGTGGCGTTTATGCTGGCTCCCTCCAGCAACCCTTCCACTTCCCCCCCTTGCTGCTTCTTTGTGATAGAGGCACCAAGGGAAGGGGAAGCGACTAGCTGAATAGTCAATTAGTAGCTTACATCCATATCACACATAGTGAATCACTTGTCCATGGCCATACAAGTTGGCGATGGTGTCAGGATTAGATCTGCTTCCCCCATCCACAAATAACTACCATCAATATATGATATTTACATAACTGATTAATATGGAATCATCTATAAGTTAGCACAAAAGATCAGTTCTGACTATGTGCACTACTCATAAAAATGTAATTGAGTGCTCATCAGAAAATAGCACAATTGAAAAATTATAGCAATGGTAGTTATACTATAGCACATAAATGTGATAATATATTAAGTTATACTATAGTACATAAATGTCATGTGATAATATATTAAGTGATCTTATGTAACACCAACAGGTGGAACCAAACCTGAGACCTCTGGACCTTAATGCATGAGCCTGTACCACATGAGCTAAAAAGCAACTGGCTATCAGCTAAGGCTGTAGAGCACGCTACATTTTCTCTCTGTATGTAGTGTAAGTGCCACTACATGGGACAGTGAACCACACCCAGGGTGTGTGGGTTACACTTTCAGGAGATATTAAGGAATTTTAGGATTTCTTATATTAAGGATAGGAGTTTTAACTGTTCCTTATAACAGGGATCTTTAAAGTTTAAAAACAGAGCAACATTTCTGAAGGAAAAAAAAAACCCTCGGGTGAGGTGGACAACCTTGGGTCAGCATATATAACATTATGTATGATTATACTGTACCCTGCAAACCTGAGAGAGGGTGGGGAGAGAGGAAGATATATTGAGAATATAGTACTATGAAAAGTCTGGGTGGAGGGGAATGCTCCTCCACCCCATAGTAAATGAATCCCTTGCTTAGTAATTAAGATCACAGCTCAACACATTCCTTCAGCCTTGATGGGTTATGTCATTAGTTACTGTGCCTTTTTTTCCCCCTCAATGTCAAGACCGGTATTGGAAGAGATTGTAAGATGGATAACAGTCCTGGGCACAGGCAATCTGAATACAGTTAATCAAATTTCACACTATAATAAGCATTGTAAAGTTCTAAAGTGAAAACTCTGGTGCAAAATCTACTTAAAATACGCAAAATTTCAATACACTCTCCAAAACAGAATCTTAACCCAAAATACATAAAGTGAAAGCAAAATATAACATGGAAAAATGCACATAGCTTGCATATTTATGACCAAGTGGTGCTGAACTTAAGACAGGAAATCATATATTAGTCATACCAAACAGCCATTATCTACTGATGTTCACTTAAAAGTGGACAATTATCTTTTGCTAAGAGTTAAGTCATTTAAGAAATGTGATTAAGAATGAAAGAACTTCCTTTGCCATTAAAAATGTGATCAGTAATGTGGAAAAGGGAGGCTACGAGCAGAAAAATAATGTGTATATTTCACAATACTTCCTATGTTAATCACAACCATCTACACTAGCAGTTAAATGGACCTTTTAAAACATATGTAAAAGTTTGATTATTGTAAAGCTATTGCCAATGTATCTATTATGTTCCAATTTCCGGCACTTTATCTCAAAACCATCTTTAAGTTGCACTCTAATTTATTCTCAGGTTATCATCAGTCTAAAATTATACATAATTGAACAGTGCATCAGCTAATAGCATCTCCTTTAAGACTTTTGCTAGCAACATATGGAACTGATATTCTCAGAAATTTCCTGCGAGTCTCATTGTGCATTCTCAACGAGAAGTCCTGTGGCACCTTATAGACTAACAGATTTATTGGAGTATAAGCTTTCGTGGGCAAAGACCCACTTCATCAGATGCAAGTAGTGGAAATTCCAGAGGCAGGCTTAAATATACAGGCACATGAAAGAAAGGAGTAGCAATCAAGAGGAAGGCCAGAGATAACAAAGTCAGTCAGGGAAGATGTGACCCACTTCTAGCAGCGGATGTGGACGTGTGAACACCAAGAGAGGAGAAACTGCTTTTGTAGTTGGCTAGCCATTCACAGTCTTTGTTTAATTGCACATTTTACATGTAATACAAAATATATACAATTTAAACTATTCTCCCAGTAAGAAAGTTTTCTGTGAATGTCATCCTTTTTCCAATGAACATGGTGTCAATTTCTTTTTATCATTTACCCATAGTAGACTGCACAATCAAAACAACAGAGGTAGCCCATAATATTAGACTACACTAACATTTGTATTTCTATTCAGTATTAATACTGCTAAACTTCCACACAGCTGTCTAAACTTCA